TAAGTTTTATGCAACGGATGCCCTTCCAGCTACACTTTGCAGATACACTTTTATTCAATAAAAAGTCACGCTTTATTTTTTAGCATATCATCAGATATTAATCTGACAGTCTACTAATATAATACACAAATATCATAAGAATTTAACCGAAAAATTAATTATATAAATACTAAAAGAGCAGCCTCAGTCCCATTGTTTGTCTCCCCCCACAATTCTATTGAGAGCGAGTCCTTGAAATCCAAAACAATCACATTGACTTCTGTAGTGTGGCGAAGACTTGTATCTCAGTCTTTAGCGATTTGGCAGGACTCTGCTCGAGGAGGACAGTCCGTGTACTCTCTCAGGTTTCGGTTCTCGGAGTGAACAGGATCGGAGAGTCGGATACACACACATCTGGAATGACCAGATCCAGGGGTGAATAGCATTCTGGGTACTCCAACCCAGTCTCTGTGAATGCCGCCACTACAGAGTAAAACTTGTGTTATTAAATGTTGTTCATGGGAAAGATTGTATTTAAAATATCACAGTTGTACCTCATCGTTGAGCACCATACTCGTCCCCCGCTGGCTTCACTCCACTCTGAGTTACAGGAGGGGTAAAGCTGCATCTCACTCTGAGCCTGGGCCTTTTTCTTCAGCCCGTCAGATAAGAAAGCCTCAACATGGAGCAAAGCGTCAGTGGGCTGCCCAGTTTCTGTGTAGAATCGGCCTATAAGTTTGCCTGCAACACAGAGGCCATACAGACAGACGACTTTAAGGGATAATTCTACCCAAAAATAAATCAAAGTATTTACCTGTTAAGGACTTGATTTTTTTATTTGTCTGAAAGTTTTTTTTATTATTATTTAAAGCCACAATTAAAGATTCTAAAAGCATTACATGAAATTCTTAAGTGAGTTTTGCATGACTAACAACGATTAAAGAATTCAGATATACCAAGATTTTTATTTAAAACACATTTTTAAAGAATATTATTGAATGTAATAAAGAGTATCTTAAGACATTTAGAAAAATACATGCACAATAATTATGGTAAAATTTAGCTCACTTAATATTTTGAAATTAGTATATTTTTTGCCCCTTTTGCCTTCAGAACTGCCTTAATTCTTTGTGGCGTAGATTCAACAAGGTACTAGAAATATTCTTTAGAGGTGTTGGTGCATATTGTTATGGTAGCATCATGTAGTTCCTGCAGATTTGTCGGCTGCACATCCATGATGCGAATCTCGCATTTGACCACATCCCAAAGGGGCACTATTGGATTTTGATCTGGTAACTGTGGAGGCCATTTGAGTACAGTGAACTGATTGTCATGTTCAAGAAACCAGTCTGAGATGATTCAAACTTTGACATGGCGTGTTATCCAGCTGGAAGTAGCCATCAGAAGATGGGCACACTGTGGTCATAAAGAGATGGACATGGTCAGTGACAATACTCAGGTAGGTTGTGGTGTTGACACAATGCTTAATTGGTACCAATAAAGGTTGCCAAAAAAATATCCCCCACATAATTACACCACCAGCAGCCTGATCCGTTGATTTAAGGCAGGATGGATTTATTCTTTCATGTTGTTGGAGCCAAATTCTGACCCTACCACCCGGATGTGGCAGCAGAGATCGAGACTCATCAGATCAGGCAATGTTTTCCAATCTTCTATTGTCCAATTTTGGTGAACTTGTACGAACTGTACCCTCAGTTTCCTGTTCTTAGCTGACAGGAGTGGCACCCGGTGTGTTCTTCTGCTGCTGTAGCCCATCCGCCTCAAGGTTGGACATGTTGTGTGTTCAGAGATGCTCTTCTGCATACCTCGGTTGTAACGAGTGGTTATTTGAGTAACTGTTGCCTTGTTCAAGCTGGCCATTCTCCTCTGACCTTTGGCATCAACAAGGCATTTGAACCCACAGAACTGTCGCTTATCGGATATTTTCTCTTTTCTGACCATTCACTGTGTGTGAAAATCCCAGTGGATCAACAGTTTCTGAAATACTCAGACCAGCCCGTCTGGCACCAACAACCACATTCAAAGTCACTTAAATCACCTTTCTTTCCCATTCTGATTCTCGCTTTGAACTGCAGCAGATCATCTTGACCATGTCTACATACCTAAATGCATTGAGTTGCTGCCATGTGATTGGCTGATTAGAAACTTGCAGAGCAGTTAGACAGTTGTACCTGATAAAGTGGCCGGTGAGTGTATGTATATTAATTTATGGATACATTCATTATTTTTTCATTTAATATATTTTTTGATACCTTTTATTTTTTTTCTATTGTATCAGGCTTAGCTGAAATGCTACTTAATACTCAGGGGACCACAACGGATACAACAACATAAATTCAGTACAAAATTAATTTTATTTTCGCGTTATAATTACAGTACTTAATATACATTAGTTGTTACAACATAACTATAAAATAATCATAATTCTATACTGAAATTAACTAAATTAATGAATTTAACTTAATTTCAAAACACTTTGTTATAAATACAACTGCAATCGGGTTATGAATAATTTTGAAAGAAACGTCAACAGCATGTTGAAGAAACAAGAATTATTTCCATTCCCTGATTTTATCCTCAAATAAATTAATTTTAAAATATTTGTGTGAGTTTGTTGTCGAATTAACCCTTTGACGTTAGCAGATGTACCCACCTACTGGAGTGTAGTCCCTCTGATAAAAGGACAGCCAGTCATAAAGAGCCACAATCTGCGACTCTGAGAAATCCGAGACGTCGTTAGATAAACCAGCCTCTGTGAAATCGCCAGTAATAAACGCCCTTGAAGCATCCTTTCCTGGAAAACACGCAGATTTCAGAAATATGCAAGCTTTAACATCCCTAACCCCCCACACAGCAGCATGCCTACTAAACTTACCTGTAAAGAAATGATAACCGCCTCCCGGGCCATAATGCTTTCTCCCCTTTTCAACGTCAAACACCTGTCCTAAAATCGCCAGATACAATCCTTTGCTGTTCTTTCCTCCGTTGTATAACGAGAGCTGCTCTTTGGTCAGCAAGAGTCCCGGAGAAGATGCGGACACTTCACTGACCCGCTGCCGCAGCCACGACTCCAGTACTGTCACTACATTACCGTAGATCGGGAACGTGAGCCACTCGGGCACCGTCCAGACGGCCAGAACCATAGAGATGAGAGCTACTAAATATTTCAGCATTGTGCATATAATGTATACATATAGGCGATAAGTCAATGACTCAGCAGATCATATATGAAACGCTGTCATGCTGCACCGAGCAACACATCTGTGGATTAACAATAAAATCGTCTGTCAACATGTTTCCGGGAGCGCGACTGCGCATGCGCATTTTTTTTTTAACGAAGATTCTCTAAATGAATATATCTATCATCTCAACATAAATTATCATTAGAAGAAAAAACAACAGGGTGAATTTAGAATTTTACACTGAGACAATTAGTAGTACACGAAATTTAATTAAATATATGGTCCATATATTTAATAAAATTTGATTTGTTTCAATTTCATTTTTTTTTTCAAAATCAATACAAGTTTATTCAGTAATAGAATACTATAGAAAACAATCCATGGATTTTATTCTATAGTATTCTATTACTGAATCAACTTGTATTGATTTTGAAAAAAACAATAATAAAAAAAAATAAAAAATAATAATAATTAAAAATAAAAATATCAACTCAATTCTGCTGCTGTTTCAGATAATTATTTTTATTCAGTTTCATAAAAACAGAAAATCTGAAAACAATCTGATTTGCTGAAAGCCCTTTTAAATATAACACTTTCCTATAAAAATAAGTACTGCATTGTTACATTTAAAAAAAAAAAAAAAAAAAAAAAAAAAAATATATATATATATATATATATATATATATAAAAGCCACACATTCCTGCATAAATAAATATAGAAATAGTGCGGGCAGATTAATAATTAAATAAATTACATGGATATTGGGAAACAAGAAAATGCTAAACTGAAAGTAGATTTTTGCCTATTTCACACCACATGCGTCTTTATCTATTTATTGTTTTATTTATGCAATTTGTTTATTTATTTATTCATTTAATTTTTATTTTTGTATTTAATAGTTTATTGTTTTATTTAAGCTGGGATTTGTGTTTTTTCGTTAATTTATTTGTGTATTTATTCATTTATTTTTTTTATTTATGCAGGAATTTGTGAATTTAATCATTCCTTTTTTATTTTTTTGCATATTTATTTATTTATTGCTTTATTTATGGGATGAAACCTGCAAAAACAGTAAATAAATAAATATGTAAATATATAAATAAATGAATAAATAAATCTATAAGTTCCTGCACACATAAAACAATAAATAAATAAATATGCAAATGAATAAATAAATGTATATATTAAATCCACAAATCCCTGCGTAAATAAATATATAAATAATTAGTCCTGGCAGGTAAAAAATTAGATATGTTACACAAATATTGGGCGAATAAGAAAATGCTAAACTGAGCATCTTTCAAACGTTTATTCACTCATTCAACGTTTGTTCATTAATCATCAGAAGCCATTTAAAAAAAAAACGGATGCAAATTTTGTAACAATGAACCAATGAATAAAGGACTAACATTTCAGTTTAGCATTTTCTTATTACCCCAACATTCCTGTAATTAATTGAATTTAATTGATTATATATTTATTTATGCAGGAATTTGATGATTTATTTACTTATTTATTTATTCATATATTTGTGTATTTATATATTTATTAATTGTTTTGCCAGGTTTTGTTCTCCATAGTTGACAAATAAAATATGTAAAGATAAATACAGCTTTCACTATGAGCATATATTTGTTTAACGTTGTATTTTTTATTCCCTGCACAGCCACACAAATTACATAAAATAAAACAAATTACATAAAAATAATAATGAAAAACAAAAAACAAAGGCGTATTTCAGATTGCGGATCCTGGTGGTTGTACGCTAGGGGGCGTGTTTCCAGAACAGGGCCGTCGCTGAGCTCACGGAAGGGACCAAAGTTTTTTGCTGACAAACATGACGTCAGCTGGCGGAGTCCGTCAATGCGGTAGTGACAGCGAAGGAACGCACTGACTGGAAAAGCACCCTGGATTAATCAAACCTGACACTAAAACTAAGCTTGAAACCTGGGCTGAAGGCGATCGGAAGAGAGCCCGAGGCCGCGGAACAGCATGGGGAACGCGGAGAGCGGCTGTGGCGCGGGGAGCGGCGATGAGGAGGACGTTGAAACGGAGAGTCCCGTGTTCGCGGAGGGCAGCCCGGCCTCTGCGGCCACTGGCACCAGGGCCGGTAGCGGAGGTGGTGGTGGCGGCGGCGGAGCGGGAGGAGCAGCGGCGGCGGGCTCCGCTGGCCCAGGGAGAAGTGGAAGAGGGTCGGCGAACCCACCGGCACCGAGTCACGGGCTTCCCACTCCCGAAGCTCTGCTGGAGCAGGTGAAGCTGCGAGAGGCAGCGGCCCGTATGAGCGACTCGTGGGTCGCCATTTCGGAGTCGGTTCTGGCGCGCAACGAGAGCGCTCTGGTGCGCTGGCTGGAGGAGAGGCTGAGCCGCGGAGAGGAGTCCGTCACCCTGGAGCAGTTCTGCGAGATGCTGGAGAGCAGAGACGCGGCCAGAGACGAGTGTGAGGAGGTGAGCACTCTCTGGGACATGCTGACCTAACGTCAGAGCTCCAAAGGCTTGGTGACTGAAAGTTTGTAGGTTCAAAACCCATGACAAGTAATTCATGACATGTCACCATAGTGCACTTCAGGAAAACGCCTAAAATGACTAATTAGTAAATAAGTAACACTTCAATGTGCCAGGCTGCTCTAAGTTGAGTGATTGACATCAAGCTAGATTTTGTGAGTGGTTAAATTGTGTAATCTTTATCTTTGTATACTATCACACATTTGATAAAGGCAGTTTATTGGCTGTCTCCACATAGACGACATTTTCGTGCCTTACATTATTAGATATGGTGTGTGTTTTTATTGGCAGCTACAGGTTTTGATTATGCTGTTTAAATATTTTAACCACAGAATCAGTCAGTGTCAGAGTGTTTGTTATTGACTCAGCATATTTACAATTAGAGATTAATCTGAATCCTGCTGGAATATACCCATGGGATATGTCTTCTGACATGGTTGTTGAAGAAACACAAAGCTACACATGTAAGGGATAAAGAATTGTTCCTAACAAGCCATTTCGAAACCTGGCAGTACTTTTATCATGGTTCAGTGAAGACATATTGATATATAACTGATTGTCATTATGCTTTTTTTAATGTACTACATGTTAATCTAAGACAATCATGCATCACGATTGTGCCGAGTTGCTTTTTGTTGTTGTGATGCTTTCTGGCAGTTCCTTTCCTGATTTAACCATGGCCCTCTTTCTTTCATTAGCTTCACAAATGATTCACACACTGACCGAGCCAGTGTTTTTGTACATGAAACAGACAGCTGGTTTGAGACTGGCAGTGTGAATGCTTTTTTTTGTTTTCCTTCTCCTTTTGTTGTCTGCTTGTCTTTTAGTGTGTGCTATTTGTGTGTACAAACAGAAACAGAAAATTAACTTTTGCACTGTGCTCTTTAGGCCTTTGGTCAGTTTGATGCTGAGGGTGATGGGATTGTGGATGTGGAGAACATGCTCATGGCACTAAGGAACTCCAATGGAGCCAATCTGCAGGGAGAACTGAGTCATGTGATCAGGCAGCTCCAGGCATGCTCTTTGACACCAGGTGGGGAAGCAGAAATGAGCATGCTTTGTATTTGAATGAAATGGCGACAGCTGCTCAGATGTCCAGATTTGAGGATGCAAGGTGATCATTCAAATGACTCTTTCGCTCACTCGTTTTTCACCCTTTATGCACATACAGGATTTGTGGATATCTTCTCCAAGTCCAAGGACCGCCTTAAAGCACATGCCTCCAAAATCCTGAAATTTTTGCACCGGAATCGCATCCCCAGCAACGTCATCCCCTTCCCTGTGCTGGATGGCTACAACAGCATCTGCACCATGAGGACGTCTGTAGTGCAGGACTTCCTGGATTACCTGCTGCAGAAAGAGAAAGGTGAAGGGCGGGGTTGGTGAAAACAAAACAGATGAAAATAGGCTAAAGTTAACCTATAAGCAAACAACACTGCCGTCACACGACTTCAACATCACCACCACTAATCTTCTGAACACACTGTCAAGCCTTTAAAATCTGCCAGTTCAAAAGCATGAGTAATAATTAAGATTATGCTTCTGTCAGAAAGATTAGCGAGTAGATAGCTTTTCTGTTCAGAGTCCTCATGTGTAGATATCTTCATCCAGCTAATTGCTATCACGGAATAAAGCCAGGCAGGCTTTGATTTTTCTAATAATAATAATGATAACTACTTGCATTTATATAGTGCTTCTCTTGGAATCTCTCTTTTTTTGGACAGACTTTATTCTGTGAAAACAACTAGTTGGATGTACATTCATTCATTCATTCATTTTCTTTTCAGCTTAGTCTCTATTAATAAGGGGTCGCCACAGTGACACAATGAACCGCCAACTTATCCAGCACGTTTTATGCTATGGATGCCCTTCCAGCTGCAACCCATCAATGGGAAACATCCATACACTTTTATTCACACGCATACACTACGAAAAATTTAGCTTACCCAATTCAGCTACAGCGCATGTCTTTGGGCTTGTGGGGGAAACCGGAGCACCTGGTGGGAACCCACGTGAACATGAGGAGAACATGCAAACTCCACACAGAAATGTCAACTTACCCAGCCGAGACTCGAACCACCAACCCTCTTGCTGTGAGGCGATATTGCGCTAGCCACTGCACCACCGTGACGCCCCTGTATGTGCATTATCCCTCTTATTACATGGCTACTTATCATTATTATTCAGTCACAAGATGCCTCTAAAGATTATTTTGTGTATTTCTTAGTACCCGTATGAGCCTTTGTTAATATTTTAATCTGTTATCTGGGAATAACATACCCAATGTCATGATTGACCAATCAGAATCAAGTATATCACAGATCCAATGCAATAAATGTATAATATCCTATTATATATAAAATAGCTTGCAAGTTAATTAAAGTCTAATTATTTTATAATACATTTAAAAAACATTATTTAGATTTTTTTTAAACTCTCTTTTGTGTCTTTGTTTTCTTTTGAAAGTAAATTTAAGATGTTTTATTTTTGGAAGTAGTCAGTAAATAGGTGTATGTACTGTGGGTTTTAAACTTGGTTCATAGTGAATGAAGTGTTCATGTTTCGCTTTGAAACCAGCAGCACAAGGCCTCGATTTATGCAAATTAGTAGTCTGGATTTACTTTGGTTGTGCATGTGCACATGTAAATTGTGCATTTCTAATAATAAATGATTTATCCATGCACATCATTATTTTAAAATATTTCCCCCATCCCCTCATCTTTTCTCTGATGATGTGTTTGCTGCCATCTGGTTGGAATGAAATTGTCACTTATGAAGTCCACCAGTAGCAAACTATAGAGTAAAACAGGTCCTAATGAACTAAACAAAGTTAAAAATGTCTTTATTTTATTTTTCATTAGGACAAATGACACAACAGAGGAAAAAAAACATCTCTACTTCTGTTTTATGCCATGATTTTTTTTCGTCAGGCTTGTTACTGAAAGGCCATTGACTGTGGGGTGCCTGGATCTGAAATGCAATAATGCAACTTATTTGCAAGTTTTAGGACCGTTGTTACTTTTTTTTTTTTTTTAAACAAATGATTAATTGATTTTCCTTTAGTTCTGCTGAAGGACATAAAGATCTCCTTTTCTGTTAATCCTCATATTCTGATGGCTCTCTTTTCAGATCTAGACATCCAGTACAGGGCAGAACTCAATCATGACCCAGACGTGGATAAGGTCAAAGTGGTCACTCAGTGCTTCAGCTTCATCGAGGCTTCATCCAATAATACAGACGTCAACAAGCTGACCAATGGCGAGACGGTGTCTTTCTGGCAGTCGGACGGCAGTGCTCGCTCACACTGGATAAGGCAAGATTCATTGTTGCTTCTATGTAGAGCTTCACCTTATCTTGATGAAGAGATAGTTAAATATAGCTTCTTCCTTTGACTCATTGCTTTCACAGGTTAAAAATGAAGCCAGACATAGTTTTGAGACGGTTGGCAATTGCAGTTGCATCTAATGACCACAGTTACATGCCGCAGCTGGTGTCTATAGCGGTTGGGAAGAACAGGCGCTCCCTGCAGGAGATCAGAGACGTGAGGATCCCCAGTAACATCACGGGTTATGTACCGCTGCTAGAAAATGCCAACATCAGCCATCCCTGTGAGTGTACACTTCAATAACACAGGGTGTTGTTTAAAGTGGAGTCACCATTATGCCTTGAAAATCTCTCTGCTGTTTTTTTGGTTTGGTAAACAGTGCTCAGCATAATTGAGTACACCCCATTTTGAAAATGATGAATGATAGATGTTTTTATCTATTTCTCAGTGAATATAGGCAATGGATTTTGGTGCAGTTAAACTAAACAGATTTATTAAAACAGATATATTCATAAAAATTATTTTTTAGTCACCAAACATATTTAGAAATTAAATACAACAAAATACAATTAAATTCAAGCAAAATTTTGCTAAACAAAATTTACAAACTACCAAGTTTCAACTAAATTTTTCAATTTTTTGCTTCTCTTGATTTGTCTTCTTTTTAAAATTTTGTATTTAATATTTTTTATAACATATTTACATAGGTGTACTAGTTTTTGGACATTTATCGTAAGTTATTTTGTTAGATAAGCTCCAGATTTGGCTATTGTACTGATGAATCTAATGTATAGTTGAAGTCAGAATTATTGGCGCCCCTGTTTATTTTTTTCACCAGTTTCTGTTTAATGGAGGGAAGATTGTTTCAGCACATTTCTAAGCATAATAGTTTTAAAAACTTATTTCTAATAACGGATTTATTTCATCTTTGACATGATGACAGTAAATAATATTTTACTTGATATTTTTCAAAACACTTCTATACAGCTTAAAGTGACATTTAAAAGCTTAACTAGGTTAATAAGGTGAACTAGGCAGGTTAGGGTAATTAGGCAAGTTATTGTATAACAATGGTTTGTTCTGTAGATTATCAAAAAAATAGCTTAAAGGGGCTAATAATTTTGTCCCAAAAAGGTTTTTTTAAAAATTAATAACTGCTTTTATTCTAGCTGAAATAAAACAAATAAAACTTTCTCCAGAAAAAAAAAATATATCAGACATACTGTGAAAATTTCCTTGCTCTGTTAAAAATAATTTAGGAAATATTTAAAAAAATAAAATAAAATCAAAAGGGGGCTAATAATTCTGACTTCAACTGTATATGCCCAAATATATTATTATATAGCTTCCTATTAAAATATGAATTTAAAAAGATAGATTTGTGAGGGATGAGTACTGTATATAATAATAGTTTTTCTAATCAGACAGATTTTATGAATGGGAAATAAATATGTCAAAGTATTGAATTGTTATCATGTATCAAAATCATTCCTTAAAGTGTATGAACATATAACTTTTTACCCCTATCTAACATACTTAAAGGAACATTATGATGCCTAAAAATACTCCATACATAGCTTGGTCACAAAACATGACCACTAAGCATTTAGTATTTTCTTTTTTAAAAGATGTATTTATAAAAAAATGAAAAAAAAATTAATGGTAATTTCTTGTTCTACTAAAAATATGCATATTTTAGTGTACATCATCTATTAACATATTTTAGTGTATAATATAGTGTCATCTAAATATCAAACAAAATCTATTTCAGGGTTGTTGTAAAATATTTGTGTGCAAATTGCAAAGATTTTCACACTTAAAACTGTATTTTAATACTTAGTCTGGTGTTATACAAATATTAAATGTTAAATTGAATTTCAGTGCTCTTTTGTTATATAATAGCCTTTTTAATAAATGCTTTTACATTTTTTAGGTTAGCCTACTCGTTGAAGCCATTGGACTTATGATTTCATTGTTTATCTTTATAAATTACTTATTCAAAGAGCACTGACACATTAAATACCCGTAAAGCACTTTTTTAAAAAACTTTTTTGTAACATTATAATTGCATTTAGCAACAATAATAATATAAAATATAAAAATTACATTTCATAAAAAAATTTTAATAATAAAAAAATACATTAACATAAATCTTGTCCACCCTAAACTTTTGAACTAATGTACAGTTGAAGACAGAATTATTAGCCCCCTTCGAATTTTTTTCTTCTTTTTAAAATATTTTCCAAACGATGTTTAACAGAGCAAGGAAATTTTCACAGTATGTCTGATAATATTTTTTCTTTGGGAAAAATTCTTATTTGTTTTATTTCAGCTAGAATAAAAGCAGTTTTTAATTTTTTAAACACCATTTTAGGGACAAAATTATTAGCCCCATTAAGCTAAATTTTTCCTCGATAATCTAACAAGCAAACCATCGATATACAATAACTTGCCTAATTACCTTAACCTGCCTAGTTAACCTAATTAACCAAGTTAAGCCTTTAAATGTCACTTTAAGCTGTATTGAAGTGTCTTGAAAAATATCTAGTGAAATATTATTTACTGTCATCATGGCAAAGAGAAAATAAATCAATAATTAGAAATAAGTTACTAAAATTATTATGTTTAGAAATGTGTTAAAAAAATCTTCTCTCCATTAAAGAGAAATTGGGTAGAAAATAAACAAGCGGTCTAGTAATTCAGGGGGGCTAATAATTCTGACTTCAACTGTATGTGTACTTGGTCTTTGAATATTGTGATGAGTTGAATGTATAGACTGGTTGTGATTTCTGTGTATTTTTTTTTTAGAGTTCTTCTTTATCAATATGAAGTTTAGAAATTTAGCAAAAACATCTGTAAACCTTTTTTCTTTTGTCTTTCAGATATTCAGATAAACATTAAGCGCTGCCTTAGTGATGGCTGTGACACGCGTATTCATGGTCTGAAAACAATGGGCTACCAGATCACCAAGAGTAAAGAGGTTTCGGTATCCGACGCCTCGGCTATATGGTATCTGTCTCTCCTCACATCGCTGGTCACCGCTTCAATGGAAACAAACCCTGTGCTTGCACAGACAGTCCTACAAAGCACACAGTAAGAGAAAAACGATAAATGAATGTGCCATGCTTGCTGTGTTACTAATTAGTCACATGATGCACAAAGCTACCAATCATATAAACCAAAGCCTGGAATTATGTATTATTTATTTTTTTAAGTCCCAATAAACCAGAAGCTATGATCCTGATTTATTTATTTTTTTTGTACTGTGGCACAGTTTCTAGAGAAGCTGAATTTTAAATGAGCAAACAGTGGGCGTGGCTAGTTTTTTGTACTGCATGCTGAATGAATGTAGTAAAGTAGCTATTTCATTCAGAAAGCTCAGGAAATGGGTTTTAGAAGAGTTATTACAACCTAACAGACTACTCCTGCTATCCATTTCTGTTTGTTGTCAAAACTGACAGTTGAAGCAGCGGGGAGTGCATTTGCAAATTTCATTTAAAGATTAGAAGGGCAAACTATTTTTTGTTCTTAATGACAGGCACTGGTGAATTGCTCACCACAAAACTAGCAATGTGACCTAACAAAATCATATGGTTAGTTTTGATTCTTGGGGACTTTAAATAATGCATTTTAATTTTAATATGAACACTAACTCCAATGTTCTTTTTAAAAGAAATTAATACTTCTATTCAGAAATTATGCATTAAATGGATTTTTTTTATTACACTTTTTTTTCTGGATTGCTTTTTTTCTTTTTTTGGTATTAAAATATCAAAAACATAAGGGATAGATTGAAACCAGGGTTAATTAAGGACTTTGACATTGGATCTTTTTTTTTGGTATGTGTTTGGTAATTGATTTCTTCATCTATTTAATATTTCAATATTTGTACAAATCTCCAAATAAAATGTGGGTGCAAATTACTTTTTATTCAGCTGAGTAAAAAATGAAAAGACCACTTAGTTTTCAAAATTTACTCATGAGTAAAATGTAATTTTTGATTTATTCTGTAAACTACTGGCGAAACCCCTTTCAAATATCAAATAATTGCCTAGCAACAACTCTGAGTACTATGGAAAACCCCTGGTAACCACAAATTTTATTTTAGCATTTTCCTAGCAACCGCCTAGATGTATTTATCTATCTATACAAACCATTTCAGATTTCAAACTTTTGGAAAACAACTTACAAAATAACAAAAAAGTATTACAACAGCAATAATACTAGTGTTTTAACTTCATTCATTCATTCATTCATTCACTCATTCATTCATTTTCTTTTCGGATTAGTCCCTTTTTTAATCATGGTTTGCCACAGCGGAATGAACCGCCAACTTGTCCAGCATACGTTTTATGTAGCAGATGCCCTTCCAGCTGCAAGCCATCACTAGGAAACACCCATACACTCTCGTTCACACACATGCACTACGGACAATTTGGACTTGTGGGGGAAACCGGCGCACCCAGAGGAAACCTACGTGAATAGTTTTACCTTTAGATGAATATAAAGCATTTCAGTATCTCAGTATTTGGTGAAATACATTTTTTAATCACAACAAAATAATTGTCAATATATAATGTTATTCTGACCAATTCTCTCTGAATTTTTAAATTATAATTTAAAACATTTAAATTATGATGTTGAGAGGCATTTAAAAAGATAAACAAATGACACTCAATTTCATACCTAATACATCTAGTAAATGCAAAGAAATTAGGATGTATTGTTTTTACCTTTACTATACAAAGCAGTTGATTGTACTGTTTTATTTTCTCTCTCTCTAGGAAAGCCTTACAGCACATGCCACCCCTGTCTCTAACTCCTTCCTCAACTGAGTTCCCCAAATTCTTCTCTGCAAACATTCTGGAAGAGGTGGACGGCTTTTTACTGCGCATAGCAAAGTAAGAGTCAAACTCAGCTCAAATCTGTTATTAAGAGGTCAAAACTATGCTGACAAGGGCAGCGGTGAACCCTGCCCATTTTTAATTAAGCAATAAAAGACAGCCTGATGATAACAGATAGCTGTTTCCCCATCAGTGAATAATTACAGCCTTTTCTTCTGAACATAATTGGAAGACTCTCATGATAACTGTTTTGTGTCCGTGTCTGTCTTTAGCTGCTGTGTTTCTCCTGAGGCCGAGCTGACTCTTTTAGCATTCGCTTTGGCTCGGGGCAGTGTGGCTAAAGTCCTCATCTCTCTCTCTGGAATCTGTGGGCATCTGGACTCAGAATACCGAGCTTCCTCACTGCTGGCCTCAATGTCGTCAGTCCGGTTAAGATTACTCCACCGCAACGGTAATAATCACTAGTTATGTAGACAATTTTTTTTTCTTTCACGTGTGATTTATTCACATAGATATTTTTTTGAATGTGCATTTTATTTTATTTTAGAAATGTTATTTGCTTTTTTATGCTACGTTTAATTTTTTTTTGTTAATCTCGATTAATATTATTATCAACATTTAATTATTCTTTATTAAAATTTTAAGTTGTATCTATAAATGTTATTCCTGATCAGATCTGTGGTGGGGTTAAACATTGAACAAGTGTATTTTTTTATTACTTAAAGCCAACATGCATAAATAATATTCATTGTTAATGAAATGCAATTCACATTCATTTATCAATTATGCAACGTCTTTCCGTAATAACTTATTTCAGTTAGCTAATAAGTCAGCGTTTCTAATTTTCATCTAATATTTATAAATGTTGTTTACTTAATGTAGGGCTATTAAATTGGCAGCCTGCGGGTCGAACCTGGCCCCTGAGGCAAATAGTTCAGGCCCTTCAAATAGTATGAACCAGACATCAAAAATAATTTTAGTTCAGTCGAAAAATGGTTATTAAAGGGTTTTAAATGCCGCATTTCTGTCGCACAAAAAAAAAAGTAATGCCTGTTGACACATTGCGTCTTTTCCAATGGAGACGTGCACATATTGGGAACAGTGCTCGCATGTGGACCGACGCACTCACGCCCTGCAAGTGCACACAGTAAAAATAATCTTACGCTGTAGTGGTGAGAGTTGTGCCTGGCTTTTAGTGCAATGTAAACAAAAGATATGTTAGACAAATAATTACAAATTATTAAAATGATTATGTATGTATGAACGCAGATAATAACAACAGTTCATTTAAATTCTTAGCTAATATATAGCTTAATTAACATTAGACAAATAAATTTTTTTATTCTTATTTTTATTTATTTATTCATTGTTCTTTCATTTATTTTCATTGTAAAATTATCAGTCATGTTTAAATCAAAACGTTTTCATTCATTTTTAAGTCCAAAGACAGAAATGGACTATTTTTTGTTTTTTATTCATGTTTTGTGCTGTATTTGGTTACTGAGCAGCAATAAACAACACATTAAAATATGAGCAGCTTTCTTGTTACTTTTTTAAACTAGTAGTGTTTTGAATTAAATAAATGCATTATAATCGTTATAACATGATTATTCTTCAGACTTTAAGCGTACAACCAAAATCTAAAATCGTTGCATCCCTAATCGTTATGCAGTTTAAAACATAATATATGAATGTGTCTGAATGTAGAAGAAGCCTACTTAAGCAATACACTGATTTTGTGCCTCGGAATACAACATTTGGATATGCTTGTAAAAAAAGCTACTTTGTACAATGCAGTGATGTTATGTAGTTTCAAAATACAGCATATTAATGTTTTAATGTTGAAAAAGTCAATGCGGGTGTCTTTATGAGCACAAATACAGCATATTGGCTCTTATATGCTGTCGTGTCATCACTAATATTGCAAGTCATATCTCTCCGGCCCTTCGTTTGATATGCTTTTCATGAACTGGCCCCCATGACAAACTAATTGAATAGTCCTGACTTAATGTAATATTAAATCTCATTTTAGTCAATATTCTAATCTAATATTTAGATATTTAAATATTTGTAATTGTTTATAAAATATTTCCATATTTAATTCATTATGCTTTTAGTTAACAAAATGAATACAAATATTAATTAGTATTTAATTAATTACTTTAGCAGAAGCATCAAAAAAACTAGTTGGTAAAACCACTTAAAACTCAATAGGTTGAGAGTTGTTGAAAGCCAGCCAGTCTCTACATTTCCAGTAAAAAAAATAAGCTGATTGTAATAAGTGTTTGTGTGCATGTGTGTGTGTGTGTGTGTGTAGGTAAACCTCTGCAGCTCCATCTGATGGCGTGTGATGTTAAGAGTAAAGAGGAGAAGTCTGGCCCAGAAAATATGCTGACGGAGCCCAACACTGGAGATGGTACACAGATTATACACAACATTATTAGTTTATTCTGGCTTTAAAATATGGGAAGGGATGGGTAATGTGGCCGTGTTCTTCACCTAGTACTAGAAAAAAACTGCTTCAGTGAGTCAAATTATACCCTATTTTATTTGAGCATTTTGTTTTATTTGCTAATTATTGTGTGCTATGATTCACCACAAAGAAGTGCCTGAAACATTTTAAAAGTCGCTGTTTGATTTGAAACCTGCAGGCTTTCTGACAGAGAATGGAAAGAGGAAAGCCAGTGTGATTTTGTCCACTGAAAACCAGAGCTGCTTCCAGGTCACACAGATCAAGATAAAAGTGAGCTTATGTGTTTAATACTACATTTTTGGGGTGGCAATATTATATTTTGTAATAATTATATGTTAATAGATTGGTTTTTAATTATGTGCAAGTGATATTATAGTGTTTGTCTTTCATTTTGCCAAAGCAAAAAAATACACACCGCATGATGAAGCCTGTTAGAATGCAGTTAAATTATTCCTTTATCAATTAATACACTTTAATTTGTATATTATATTTATTAAATATGATATACTTCAGTAATATAAAAAAAAAAACATTATTCTATAAGTGCATTGTTTTCAAAAATCAGTATGTGAGCATGATTGAATTTGAATTTTATTTGACAGATTTTAGGCAAGCTGTTCAAAAATACAAGTATCCCATACATTTTAAAATAATAACTGTTGAGGATAAAAACACAATAAAGCCCTGGGCTTATTTCTATTGTGGTCCTCGCTGTTAAATAAAACAAAGTATGGCTTCAAAATACAGTTGATGCATAAAACAAACAGTACCTCCACATTTTAAAACGGGAACAGAATAATTCACAAATATATTTATTCCTTCATTGCATATGTGAGATTGAGTTTATACAAGTTCAACAAACAAAAATGTGAATATTAGGTCAGAAAGTTGCAGAATAAATCAACACTGAGATAATTAGTATTACAGGTTAATTGGGTTGGCTAAATTGTCTGTAGTGTATGAATTTGCATGAATTCCAGAGATGGGTTGCAGCTGGAAGGGCATCAGCTGCGTAAAACATATGCTGGATAATTTGGCGGTTCAATCGGCTGTGGTGACCCCACATTAATAAAGGGACTATGCCGAAAAGAAAATGTATGAATGAATAATTAGTATTTAATGAATGCTATCACAGCTTTTTAAGAAACCGTTTAATATTTTAATAGTTTCTTAGTTGGTGGCTTATTTTAACTTTTGTTTTATGCTTTTATAAATTTTTTGTGACACTTTAAGATTTTACTTAAATAAATAAATAGTATATTAATAATAATAATAGTAATTATTAGTATATAATAATTATTATTATTATCATTATTATTATTATTATTTTTTTTTTTTTTTTAATGCTATCAAAACAAAGGTAAAGAGATGTGATTTTATTTTTTTTTGGTCAGTATTGCATACCTTTACTTCATAAACCTGAAATTAGAATGATTGTCATGTAAATGTCCAGTTTGCAACACAACACCAGTTTTACTACCACCTGATTTATTTTTCTGTCTCAGGTGCGTAAAGGAGCCATTGGTGCTAAATGTGGCTTGGTGTTTGCCTACAATGACTGCGAGGTGTTTGATGCCGATAAACATTTCAAGAGATTCAAGAAGTATGACAGCTGGGATTATAAGGACTATAAGGAATTTGTCCAAGACAGGTATGTTTTTTAGTCTTAAACCCATGTGTGTGTATTCATTTACAGTATATACCAGTTGTTTATAAGAAGCAGCCTTTGTGAACTGTACATAGTGTTTGTGTAGGAGTGTATGAGTGAGAAATAGTGTCTGTGTGCATGTTAGAGTTTATTTTGATCCTTGTGTGGCCAAGATGGTAAATTCTGTGAAACTTTTTTTGTTGACCTCTTGCCGTTATCTGCCTGTGTACCCTTCACCACAAACACACACACACACACACACACACACACACACACACTACAGCACGAGGATAACAGAGAGCAGTGAGGAAGAGCCCATTGGCTGGTTTGAGGTCGAGGAGGACTGGAATGACGTGGACATCAAGCTACAGCAATGCAGAGTATCAAAAGTATGGATATTTCTTTCTTTCTTTCCTTCTTTCTTTCTTTCTTTCTTTCTTTCTTTCTTTCTTTCTTTTATTACTTTTATTTATTTTCTTTCATTTATTTCTTTATTTCTTTATCGATTGATTTAATTAATTAATTTTATTACTTTTTGGTTTATTTTCTTTTTTTCATTTTTTTCTTTCATTTATTTATTTTTTATTTATTGATTTTATGTATTTTCTTTTATTCATTAATTCATTTATTTATTATTGTATTTATTCATTAAATTTATTTCTTTTATTACTTTATTTATTTTCTTTCATTAATTTATTAATTAATTTTTTTAATTAAATTATTTTATTACCTTTTTCCTTCTTTATTTTATTCATGTATCTAATTTATTTCTTATATTACTTTTTTATTTATTTATTTTCTTTTTTCTTTTTTTATTTGTTTGTTCATTTATTTTTTTGTTTGTTTTATTTTGTTTAATACTTTTTATTTATTTTACTTTTTCTTTCTTTCTTCCTTCCTCTTTCTTTCATTTATTCATTTTATTATACATTTAGTTCTTTAATTTCTTTTATTGCTTTCTTTCTTTCTTTCTTTCTTTCTTTCTTTCTTTACATATTTAAATTAACAACATCTGCTTGTTTTTTGTGAATTTTTTACAAATGTTTTGCAAAAATCATAGTTTGATTTCCAACCCTAGTACCTTCGCTAGATCAGGTATGTCATGGATAAATATGAAAATAAAACACAAATAATCAGTAGGTGGCAGCAAAGCACTGTCTTAATGAGTGATTCACTGAACCATTTATTCAAACAACTCATTTGAACACTGATTCATTTAGAAAAAAAACAAGAAAGGATTTTTTGAAGGGATCAGTAAGTCATCCAATCAAACAATATATTCAAAAACATTAATTCAGGAATGAAACATAGATATCGTTTCCCTGAAATGCACAAATGTTCTGCTGTAGCTGGGTTTTGAACCCTCTTTTGCTAAAAAAAAAAAAAAAAAAAAAAAAAACATTTAAAAAAGAAAAGAAGTCAGACCATGCTCTATGTAAATTGTTGCTCACAATATATATTGAGGATTCTATCCTTTTTAAAGAGCTCAGGCATTTAAAAAAGCAGATGGCTAAACTACAGCCTGTGCTCAGAATAAAGCAAATCTATCTTCCTGTTAGTGCTGATTCTTGTGCGGTTATCTTTATATCTTTATCATTATGCTGTCAACAGTTCTTGAGATTTAAAAGACAAGTCAAAACGATTTCCTCCATGTCTGTGACACACTTTGATAGAGCTTTATTTCAATTCAGAAAATGTTTATTTAATGTTTACTGTTGGATAAGAAAGCATTGAATATGATGGGGATTAAACATCCTTCCCTTTCTCTGTCTCTATAGTTTCTGATGGTGAAGTTCCTGTGTGCGCGGCAGGACACAGCGGAGCGGCTCGGGGTCCAGCAGTTGATTTTCAGTGGTTATTTGTGTCCAGACTCAGAGCGGATGGAGGACGTGGAGGATCTGAGCGCTCAGGCCGAGGGAAGCGACTCGGGTCTGGTTACTGGTCTCGCGCTCATGAAGAAAACTCTTTATTTCATCCAGCAGCTCACCAGAGATATGGTACAGCACCACGTGTCTATGACTGTGACCTGTGAATTATTAAAAACAACTCATCGTAAAGCATTTTTAGTCAACTTTGTATGCATCTGTAAAGAAAATGAATCTGTAAATCCTGTGTTACAGGATGTGTCTCTGTCAAAGCAGAAGACCCTGCTGGACTTCAGTGACCTCAACCTTCTGCTGTTCTGGGACTTTTACCGCAAACTCAGATCCATGTGAGTAAAGCTGCCTGATGAATGTATATGTACTGTAAATGTGGCATGATATAAGAAGTAACGTGACAAATTTTAGTGTGTCAAGTGATTTTCACTTTGAAATATTCTTCAAGTAACCATAAATGGTGTGTTTCCTTCAATTATGTTAATATTAAAAGATAAGAAATGTACTCTTTCAAAAGCATGCCTCGCTTTTAATCGATGAGTGTTTACACTACAACCTTTTAATGAACTTTTTGAGGGGCAAAATACAATTTACTACAAAATAATCCCATAATAATTGAACTCGAGGCTATCGAGGATTAGATTATTGAGTCATATAGTCCAGCCCAGTGTCCTTTGTTAAAATACATGCTGACTGCACAGTTTTTGTCTGTTCTAATGCATCTTTGTTGCGTGTTTGTGTGTATGTTTGTACACTCTCAGTGAAGGAGAAGAGGCCATAAAGACAAGAGTTCTCCTTCTTCAGCTGCTCCAGAACTGCTTCCCAATGTTGCCCAGTCCGACCGAGTCCCAGCCGTCAGATCTCTCAGCATCAGCCTCAGCATCGCCTTCAGGCAGCTCAGATGTGGACCCCGCAGAAGCTGTTGGAGAGCTCTGTAGACATTTATGTCAAGGTGAGACCAATGTGCAAGTTACAGGGAGGGTGTGGGGGGATTGACCCCCTTAATTAATGCTTGATCCCCTCTGAAGGACATCAAAACAGCATGTATGGGGGATCACTTCTTTAATACTGATAAATAATTTGTTCTGCTTTGTATTTTAAATAATAATGTCAATAATTGAAATTAATACAAGCAATCAGGTTAATAATATAAATATGCATTTGACCACCCCTATAATGGTTCATATCGCACCAATCAGTCTGCGAGCAAAAACTCATTCAACAGTCTGAAACCAGCAGATCTAGAGCACCAATAGGCAACGTAAATGTTCACAAGACTGTTTTCTAGTAAAATAGCTGTTTGTTTCTACATATAGCCTAAAAGTAAAGTCAGATTAAATGCATAGTTTACTAACATTAACTTCAAAAGTAGCTAATCCGATACTGTAGGACAGAATACACAAAATATCCCACAAAACACTGAAAACTTAAATACATTTTATTAATAAATTACATGTTGTTTAAATAAATACATGCATTTGATTCACTTAAGCATATGTTACAAAAACTAAGATTACAGAATAAGTTGACCCCTCCGATCGTCAATGTATAATTTGCACTCTAGGTGAGACTCTGCCTGAGATAATGCTCTCACTCAGTACATTTACATGAATGCCAATACTCTAATTTTATTATGATTAAGACAATACTCTGAGTCCACCATGTAAACAAAGATTTTTGATTACCTTAATTCGATTAAACTACAGACACCTGCATCTCCAAAGGCACACACAATGAACACCATCACACCTTCATCACCAACACAATTTTACAAATGTTATCTGGGAAATGCAGAAGTTTTCTTTCTGTTCAGCGTCATCAAATTTCACTAAAACCTCTCCCCTATCAATTCTTATTTCATGCTCTCATTCAGCTCCTCAGAGTTTGAAATGTTGCTAAATAAATGTGTAACTGCTGAATTGTGAAAATGATCAAAATAATAATTAAATTCTTATTTTGAAAAATTCCAATTAAAACACACACAGTTGCATGAAACTCTGGAGGAAACATTGGATAGCAGAGGTGAAAGTGATGTAATGACATTAATCAATCTGTGTACTTTAACGTGTAAAATGGGAATGTGAAAAGAACATTCCAAAAGCAACTCTTATAAACACCATGATCATATTATTGCCTTATTCGGATTAAGATAAATAATTGGATTACTAATATCCATGTAAACATAGTCAGTGACACTTCACATGTAACACTCCACAATTGTTTATCTGTCTTGCTGCTGTTTAAAGTTTGATTCGTATGTGTGGAGCAATACTTTAATCCAGCTAGCAGTGCAGTTCACAAATTTGAACAAAAGTTTCTTATACCCACAACGGCTGGATTGATTTAAAAATCCATTATTTTAAAAATGCAGTAAAAATGGTAATATTGAGAAATATAACATTTAAAATTTGAATAATGGTTTTATTATTGTTAAAATATATATTTTTAAAAATCCTATTGATGCAAAACTTTTCAGGCATCATATTTTCAATCTTTAGTGTGACATGATCTTTCAGAAATTATTTGATGCTTATGAATGTGTTTTTGGATTACAATGAATGATCTTTCATTAAAAAATGTTTACCCAGCTTTTGGAAATAGCAATAATTAATGATTGTTTGTTAAGTCCAAATACCATTTATTTAAATTAAAAAAAACTCTTAGAACTATCTTTAAATATCTTCTCCATCAATTTTAATGAATTTAATGCATACTATGTGAACAGAATTATTTATATAAATATATATTAGGGATGTCCCTATCGGGTTTTTTTTGCCCTCGAGTCTGAGTCATTTGATTTTAAGTATCACTGATACCCGATCCGATACTTCCATAATACTTAAAAAAGAATAAAGAAGAGCGAAGAAACCGATCCAGGATGATCCTTATTTTTAATTTAATTTACCTTATTTTAACATTCAACAATTCTGTTAACAAACAGAGCACTTCTGTGAGGTAGCTTGAACAATCAAGTAATAAATAACATCAATTCTTCACTTTTGGACTTTAGTGCAACAGTTAATATATAATAAAATCTAATATAAAAACAAATAGCACCTCAACTTAAAATACCCGGCAGGCAATCCTATGTTTATATATTTCACAGTTTACTATGCCAATGTTGTCATCATCAACTTTATAATAACTCCAGAGCGCAGACATACTCGCGCTTTCCGCTTCAAGCTGCTTTCTTGTTCTACTTTGCCAACATTTAACTAATAGCATCTCTACAACAAAAGTGTTATTTATTTTTAAAAGTGTTTTTTATTTTCCTAATGATGATAATAGTAATGATAATAATAATAATAATAAAAACATATGTAATGGGTTTTCATGCTTCATTTGAGCCTCTAATAATTCTAAGTCTGAATAGGCTTTTCTGTGTTTTGACTGGTGTAAGAGAGAGTAACTCATAGGTTTTGTGCTGTGCAGTGGTGGACGGGCCTGAAGGAGAGACTGCAGCAGAAAAAGCTCTGAGGAAAGAAGCTGTGAAAGCCATCCTCAACGGAGCTGCCATCTTCTACCCAGATAAACAGAGCCGGAGGGACAAACTCTTTCACATGATGGTAAGACACTGACAGTCGGATTCTTGGCTTGCCTGAAAGAATATTAGTAGAGAAGTGCTTTTGTATGAGCAAGTTTTTTTAATGACTTCTTTTTTTCAGAAAAACATAACTGAGGAGAATCAGCCGGAGTCTGTGAAGCTGACGTTTGAGTCTCTCTGCAGCTACTTCAGGTATTCTTCCTTTAATAGAGCAAAAGAAATGTATCACCATACTTCCACATTTAAATGATTACAGTAAATAATAAAAAATATATATTATAAGTGTTTAAACATGTTTGGTTGATGTATACAAATTATATACAGTTTAAAAAAATATGCACTAGTCTGCATATATTTCTAGCGCAAAAATATGAGCATTGGATGAAGTCATGCTTAGAATTCGTTTCATTTTACAGTGGTGATTTTGAGCATCTCTTTTTGACACTCACTTGTAGCCAGAAAAAAAGTTCCACATATATAAATGATTACTTCTGTAAAAATCTTCAGAATACAGATATGAGTCAAACTGTGAAGTCTGAAATATGTAAGTGTTGCTGAAGTGGAGATTTAAAATTTTAGAACAGGAGAAAAACCTCATTTTGAGAAAAGTCTTTAAAGATATGTATTGTGATTGAAATGTACAGACACTAATTGTTACAGTGCGACAAAAGAAACTTGAAAGTGATGTTTTAAAAAGATCAGAAAGATGCTTTCTTTACATTAGACCTTAGAAATACTCAGAAAAATCTAAATAATTCACATAAATTCGAATATAAAGGGAGCAATTTCTGCTTGATGGATGTTTGCTTTAAAAACTTAAAACTGTAATGGCAAATGGTTTTCTTTTAATTGCTTTAATTCTCTGGAGAATAATCAATTTACACTCAGACAGCCTCTGTGAGCAAAAAGATCCCAAGCATGGGCTCACAGGCATTTTTAGAGACAGCGTTTATAGTCCAATGATTATAATGCATTTGATATTTACTTTAGCAAAGCCTTAATCAATTTATAATATCAATATATAATTATCAATCATCAATATTAAAAATTTCTATCACAAAACATAAATTCACAGAGAGTGTATATGGCAAATGTATATTGAAAGATATGTTTCTTTTTCCTAAAAAAACAAACCACAGAGTAAAGGGATCAGAAAAATATTAATCTGCAAGCGTGTTTTACATTTTAAATGAGGGAAAAGAATATGCATTATGAATGTGAAGAAAATAGTATTCAAGTTTACAGTATAACACATTTATTCTGTGATTTAAACTTATCAACCCAAAAGAAATAAAACTAATCAAAAGGATAAGAGTTGGCTCCCCATAGAACAATAATGATTTATTTTATTTTATTTTGCATTTAAGAGGGAAAAAATATTATATATGTGTAGTCTCTCCATTGTAACAATTGTAAATATTTTTACTGTACTGTAAAATACAAGCCTACACAAACAGTTTAGGAAGGGTTTGGCTGTTTTAGTAAAAAACATATTTTCACGGCAAGGTTGACCTTTGCATATTGGCTTAAACTGGAACCTTTTTTTTTATTTTTTATCCTTTTCCCCCTTATCATTCTGCACTTACACACTCTCTCTCCTTCATCTCTGTTTGCAGTGATCAGGACCCAAAAGGTCTTCTTATGCTGCCCCCTAAAGGAGCCCCATCTGACTTTGACATCTCCCCTGTCCTGAGCGTCATGGACACCCTGCTTATTGTGGCCAGTAGAGAGGTACTCTATGTGTTCGTCATGCTGACAGTCAACAACATGCTAATAGCTGACATATGCTTTAGGTCCGTGCTTCTCAACCATGTTCCTGGAGGACAACCGCCCTGCACATTTACCATGTCTCCTTAACCAAACTCACCAGGTTCAGATCATCAGCTTATTAGCAGAGACAGAAAGACATGTAATGGGTGTAACAGACAAAGGAGACATGCAAAACATGTTTGTGGTCCTCCAGGAGCATGGTTGAGAAACACTGCTTTAGATGTTACATATGAAGCATATGCCATTTTAGATGTATACATTGTGCTTTAGCATCTGTTAGCTGAAGACCTCATGTTGTGCTGTATTCTATGACAGCTCATAGGAGTAATGTGATGTTCAATAATGTAAAATGCTGCTCTGTTCTATTAGTGTGAGGTGCTGATGTCAGAGTCCAGTGGAGGGTCCATTTGGAGGGTCCTGCTGTCTCTGTTTTGGGCTCTACAGGGTAGTTTGCTATCCTGGTGCTTCCTGCAGCTCAAAGGAGGAACTGCTACCTCCTCTGATCTGGCCAGGGAAATCCTGCTCAAATGTTAGTGTGCTTTTCTTTGGTTTCACATCTTCTTTATAAGAACCCTTCAACATGCAGCATGGTCCAGTCAGAAATCTATTGTGAAAATGCTTCTGTTATGCTAACATATTTGTTTTGATTAGGGGTGTGCACATTTTTTCCCCATCTATTATAATATTGATGTTGCTTTTAACACTTTGAGAACTGACTTTAAGTATGTTACAGTATATCATTATATTTACATTCTTTGCAAATAAACACACTACTTAAACAATTAATATTAATAGCTTGATTCTACAAGGGCACAGCAATTTGATCAAAAGTGACAGTAAAGACATTTATACGAGTGTTTTAAACTATTCTAAAGCAATATTAGACATTTATAATATTAAATATGATTTATTTTTCAAGAAAATGCAGTTTTTTTTTTTACTTTCTACCTATCGAAGAGTGCTGACAAAAGTTATCACAATTTCAGCGTTATTATCAAATCATATGTAGTAAGTGCATTAAGCTGATTTTTTTTTAAGTTAAATGACATTTCCTAAGGAGCAGATCAGCATATAAGAATGATTTTTAAAGGATTATGTGAGTCTGGAGTAATAACTGCTGATAATTCAGCTTAATCATAATAATTACATTTTATGATAAATATGAAAAAAACACAATTTTAACAGTTTCTACTATAATTTGATGAAATAAATGCAGCGTAGTATTTTCAACCCCAAATGTGATTTAGTTTTGCTGTTTTTTTTTGTCAGTGTGTGAACATTTTTGTACTGTTTCTCTTGGCTGTTAGATGTGGAGCAGTTCCTGTCAGGCACCAGAGACATACTGATTCCTCTTACTAAGAGCTTTTCTGGAGCTGATATTATGAAGAAACTCAGTGGATCAATCCTCGCAATGGCAACAAGACAGCTGGTAGCTGACCACTTTATCCCACTGTATTTAGAATTATTCATTCATGCCTTCATGCTTCTGCAAATATGTCCACAGTTGAAGTCAAAATTATCAGCCCTCCTTTGATTTTTTCTTTTTTTTTCTTTTTCAAATATTTCCCAAATGATGCAAGGACATTTTCACAGCATGTCTGATAATATTTTTTCTTCTGGATTAAGTCTTATTTGTTTTATTTCGGCTTGAATGAAAGCAGTTTTTTAAAAACTATTTTAATGTCAAAATTATTAGCCCCTTTAAGCTAGATTTGTTTTCGATAGTCTACTGAACAAACCACTGTTATACAATTACTTGCCTAATTACCCTAACCTGCCTAGTTAACCTAATTAACCTAGTTAAACCTTCAAATGTCACTTTAGGCTGTATAAAAGTGTCTCAAAAAATATCTAGTCAAAAATTATTTACTGTCATCAAGGAAAAGATAAAATAAATCAGTTATTAGAAATGAGTTATTAAAACTATTATGTTTAGAAATGTGTTGAAAAATTTTTTTCTCTCCGTTCAACAAAAATTAGAGAAAAAAAATGAACAGGCGGGCTAATAATTCTGACTTCAACTGTATATTGAATGTGTATGGTGTTTTGTTGTAGACAATCTTCCTCCTGGAGCTGTGTGCTCTGGATATTCCTCACTGTGTGCTGCTCAAGAGATTTTACCCCATTTCAGACCTGCTGAAGAATATGTCTAGTGACACAGATGACATCTTCTCTAAGGTCAGTTCACAGCATGTTCAACATGATTTTCTTTACAGTAAATCACTTCCTACATCAATGACATTGGTTTCACACTGACTAAACATTAATACTAACTATACTTTTTGTTTTTTTTCTGTAAAGTTGATTTGACACAATTTGCAGTGAAAGCAGTCGCATAGACATGAGATAAAAATACAAACTAAATGCTGTATAGTAATAGTGATTTGTTATTTGTGTGTTTGCAGGTTGATTTAGAAGGCTGTCAGCAGCCTCAGCAGCCTGTTGTGTTGAGGACATGGCAGATGGAGTCTCCTCATAACTATGAGAACAGCAGACATGAGACCACCGTCTTTGTCTGTCCCGGAGCCACTTCCTTTGAGGTGGAGTTTGATGCTCGCTGTGAGACAGAGAAAAGGTGTGAACAGCTCTACTGACACCTTCTGGTGATAACAGGACTGGCGATAATGCATATTTTCTTCTTACAGACACCTTCTGGCTTGACTTTGTTTAAACTCTGAAGTTTATGCTATATTTACACACAATGAACGTTGTTGTGTTTTGTTTTTTGAGTAGGTATGACTATCTGGAGTTCACTGATGCTAGAGGAGGGAAAGTGCGCTATGATATGAAGGTTGGCACAGAGAAATGGCCAAAGGTATTAAAAATGTTTTTTTTTTTTTACTGGAGTATTCTTATAGGTCTCATTTAAATGTGTTAGTTGTGTAAATAGTTTAAAAATAAATGTGTTAAAGGCATAGTTCTCCCAAAAAAATGAACATTTACGCACCCTCAAGTGATTCATATAAGTTTCTTTATTCTTTTTAACACAAAAGGAGATATTTTGAAGAAAGCTTAAACACTGTTAAACTATTGACTTCCATAATAGGAAAAATGAATATTATGGAAGTCGATGATTAAAGGTTTCCAGCTTTCTTCAAAGTATCTTCTTTTGTGTTCAACAGATGAAGAAAGTGAAAAGTGTTTTGGAACAAGTATAAATGTTAATAAAGATGACAGAATTTTCCATTTTGGGTGAACTATCCTTTTAAAAAAAGGCTGTTATTAATAATACCTCCTACCTGCACATACATTTTATTATTCAATCTGGTATCTTTGAAGAAGAAAAAACATAAATAAATTTGATTTGTAATAAATAATGTTTTTTTTTTCCTTCAGAAAGTGACGTTTAAAGCAGGTCCCCAGCTGCAGTTTCTGTTCCACTCAGACAGCAGTAATAATGAATGGGGTTATAAGTTCACTGTGACGGCGTATGGCCTGCCGGACGTCACTGTGTCCTGGACCTCAGACCTGCAGCTGCTCGTGTCCAGGCTGATGGGCCGTCTGGCGTCCCGCACCATGGCTTTAAAATCACCATACGGTTAGTGGGCAGACTGATAATCTATTAATCTGAAAAAGGTTTCTTTTAAAAAGCTTTGTTTTTCTTTATAATAACAAATTGTACATGGTTTTAAGTACAAATAAAAGCAATAAACCAAATTCACTACCTAAAACAGTTTGTCACACCTGCCACTGGCAGATGCCCCAATTAATTAGCTGTCCATTTAAAAAGACAGCCAGGACAAATTTAGGAAAAACATTTAATTGCAATTTATTGTTATTGCAGGATATTTCTCTTGTGCACATTATAAGTAACTAAAGCTTGCAGATTTTTCAGAAATAAAGTTCAGGTTGATCTTTTACTACACCTGAGCCACTTCTAAACATTGAAAACACTGTTATCATAAGCAGTTTATATGAAAAGATCACAGCTTCACACACAGATTGTATATTTCTATATATAAAAAAAATACACATTCTCTGCAATTGGATTCAAGCCAATTCTTCTTCACATTTGAATATTATTGAATTTTAAATTTTATCCATGTCTGTATTTTGTATAATAAAAAGAAACATAATAATATTCTGACATATTATGCATTGCAGTTTGTTGAAAAGTGTAATTTTATGTTTTTGTTTTAAAGAGATCCGCGGTGTGAAGGAATTACCTGCAACCTTGATGAACCACATCCTGTCGTGTCCTCTGTGGAAACCTGTGTTCAGACATGGACTAAGTGGCCTTCCTGGGGAACAGAAGTTAGCTTTGGCCAGCCCAGAAGCCAGCCAGGTGATTTACCCTAGGATTTTGACTCTGTCAGTGTGTTTCAGTCTAAAACAGTCTAATTGCATTTTTGCATTCTGTGCAATTTCTTTTTGCAGGAAGATCCGGCTCCTCTGGGAGACGAGCTGGTGGAGTTCCTGAAGGAATTTGCCCGATGGGATCCTTCCCAGGATTCTTCTGATGGCAGAACAGAGCTCATGAGAACCCTTTTGGTGAACTGCAAGAAGCAGTTGATCAGAAACGAGATTGCTTCAGGCTTAAAAGTGGACCAGGCTGTTAATGCCATCTGGGCAGCTATGGTTTATCACACACCCGCTCTTCACCCCTGCCTGAAAAGCTTCGGTAATTCAAGAGTTTTAAACACGCTCACAAGAGCAAACACTGTATATAAATGTAACTAGCATGCAATTAGAATTTATTAATTATTTTGTAAATATTATATTTAATATGTTAATGAGAGTAATTACCATAAAACATGCACACATATTGATATATCTGGATGCTGTATTTTCAGAAAAATAAGTTGCATCAATAAAATGCATTGGGTCAATCAATTATGCATTAAATGCATAATTAGCTACCAGTAGCTAGTAATGTTTAAAAATTTTAGTGCATTTTAGTTTAAAACAAATATTTGTTATGAAAATAAATAAATAAATAAAAATTATACATTTTTAAAATTATAACTATAAAGCTATTAGGAACTATTAGGAATACTTGCATGTCAGTCTCATTCAGCTTTTAAACAAATGTGTGTTTGCATAAGTTTTGCGTATGCTTCACTTTTTTTAATAATAGAATTATAATAATTGATTTTGGAATAAAACGTTTCACACTTTTAAGGTGGTTAAAAACTAAAGACTTACAATACTTTAAGTTTAAAATTAGTAGACTTAGGAGTTAAAATAATAACTTGTGAGTTTATTTATGCATATATTATTACCTGATCAACAGCTAGTTTAATTGTTTTGTGGTCCCTTATTTATTTATGAAATTTTATCTTCTTTAGTACAATTAATCATGTTTAGTCACAATGTGTGGACTTGTTTTAAGGGAGAAATGCTGTCTGATTATGTCATAATGCCAAGCCACACTAATCTTGACTGCTTTGGTACCAGCAGTATCTGTTTCTGTAGGATGGTTGCATGAATAGGTCAATTTGTCATACATGTCCATAAGTGAGACTACATTACATTTTTTATATTTCCTATTTATTAGTTGCTAAGAATGGCCAGAGTGGTCTCAGTGAGGATCTTGTGCAGGTCTACACTCTCGCGGATGGCATCAGAACATGGATGGTTAGTATGGCTTTCTACTTCAGGTTTTAAAGTAACATTATGTTTTCTTTGTATTTATACATGTATTTTGAACTGTTTTGCTAGTTGGAGATGAAACAGCGCTACCTTATGGGTAAAATGAATGGAGTAGAGGAAAAAGACGAAGGACAGAATGAGGTTACAATGGAATCACTTGGTAAATATTAAAGAAAATACCTTTTGATTGAATGTATGAATGCGTTTTCAAATACTTCTTGAAGTGCTTGAAAGTAGGCAAGCTTAACTTTAAACCCTGGCTACACCAATATTTGTTTTTTTAAATGAAATGATTTATCAGATGAACTTTTTCATTTAAAAATAAATCTTATTTTAAAAACAAAAATGGTTGAATTAATATCATTTGCATGATGAAAGTAAATTGTTTTACCCATGAATAAAGCCATTGTTTTTGACATGAAATTCAGAATACAAGAATCATTAATAAATAAAAACACATTCAACTTTTTTAACAAATCTAACACTGCTATATACTATACTATACCATACTATACTATACATACACCACTTGACAAAAGACCTGTCGTCGATCCAAGTTGCAAAAGCATCAAATAATAACTTTACTTTTAGATGATTGTTTAGAAAAGTGGCAGAAGGTAGATTTTTTTACGATGAATTATCTGTTGATCCCAATTATCACAAATACTGCAGAAGACCTATTGGAACCCACATGGACCCAAGATTCTTTCAGAAATCAGTCAAGTTTGGTGATGGAAAAATCATGATTTGAAAAACCAAGGCATGATCATATTTTATTTTGGTCAAATAAGCATAATCTAAAGGCCTTCGACTTTCATATAAGCTACTTCTGATACCAAATCATCAACTAGAAGTCAAGGTTTTATCTGCTAAAACTTGGATAGGCAACAAGACTTTTTGTCCGGTAGTGTACACCATACTATACTGTAATGACTATTAGTTGACTTGTTGTTTCAGCTACTTATTGAACAAAATGTCTAAAGCGAAACATCAGAATCAAGTGTAACCGGTTTTTTTCTATTTCTCACTCTCTTTACAGCTGAAGTTTGCATCAGTAGAAGTTTGTTCCTCTTCCAGTTCAGCCCAAGCGGTGGAACCTCTGCACCTCAGGATCAAGAGACTTCCAGACCTGAAGACATTGCTTGTGCTGCTCCTCTTCTCCGCTCCATTTCCACCTCAGAAGGAGATTTCCAGCCCAGTCCGTCTCTCTCCATTTCCCAGACCCCTCATGGAGCAGAAGCAGTGACGTCCCCTGTGTCTGCTTCTCGCGAGCGGACACAGGACCAAAGTTTCTCTGCTTCAGGTGATGCAGGAGCATCTGGCAGCATCAGTTCTCAGGGTGCCACAGGCTCCTCAGAAAGTCTTCAGTCGCAAACAGGAGAGCCTCTGTCTCCGTCTGTCTTCCCACGCAAAGCACCGTTCAGCCGGGGACGTCTGAGGCTCCTTTCCTTACGATCTATGGAGGAACCTCGCATGGCACCACCAGTTAAAGAGCGCTTCCCAATCCTCAAGCACATCCTCAGCTTTATGAAGGACATGGTCATTAATGAGAGCAGGTACAAACCAGGGTTTTTCATCTCATGTTATCAGTAGCGTGATTCATGGCACTGTGATTCAACAGATTTTGATATGTATATTTAACTAAAAATACACAAGTTTTAAGTTTAGTTTCCTTGTGTTTGAGTCGTGCTTAATTTAAATGACTTTCTGACACACTGTAACAAAAAGCTGGATATGCTTTTGGCTCTTTTCCACAAATTTAATAGTGACAACAGGGATGAATGTAAAAGTATCACAACACACAGTTCAGAACACATGTGACCTGTGAATTAATACATTTACATACTTGTAGATTAATCCTAAATAGGTAATTCAAGAGTTTTAAACACGCTCACAAGAGCAAACACTGTATATAAATGTAACTAGTATGCAATTAGAATTTATTAATTATTTTGTAAATATTGTAATTAATATGTTAATGAGAGTAATTACCATATAACATGCACACATATTGATATATCTGGATGCTGTATTTTCAGAAAAATAAGTTGCATCAATAAAATGCATTGGGTCAATCAATTATGCATAAAATGCATAATTAGCTACCAGTAGCTAGTAATGTTTGAAAATTTTAGTGCATTTTAGTTTAAAACAAATATTTGTTATGAAAATAAATAAATAAATAAAAATTATACATTTTTAAAATTATAACTATAAAGCTATTAGGAACTATTAGGAATACTTGCATGTCAGTCTCATTCAGCTTTTAAACAAATGTGTGTTTGCATAAGTTTTGTGTATGCTTCACTTTTTTTAATAATAGAATTATAATAATTGATTTTGGAATAAAACGTTTCACACTTTTAAGGTGGTTAAAAACTAAAGACTTACAATACTTTAAGTTTAAAATTAGTAGACTTAGGAGTTAAAATAATAACTCGTGAGTTTATTTATGCATATATTATTACCTGATCAACAGCTTTGTAACAATCGCAGAGAGATTGCCTCTTGCGACATTCAAATCACACGTATAAAATAATTTTTTTTTTCGGTAAAATATAATGATGATGGAAGAAGTTGTGGATCTGGTGAGTTTCTTAGAAGGTGTAAGATATTAATTTGTTGCTTGTTAAAGATGTTTTCTGTCACTACTTTTTTAGCCTGCATTAATGCATTCAATGTAAGCTGCGCCATTAATCATTAAAAGATCGAGCTCTCAACACCCACGCAACATCAATTATAAATGATCGTGATTTGCATATGCGTATTAATCCTTCCAATCGCTGCATGCAAATCTGTGTTTGAAAAATGAAAAAATCAAGAGAGTTGTTTACAAACAATCTAATAACACAGAAGTACTGGGATAACAGTTTATAGTTTAGATATAACCACTGATGTTCATGGTAAAGATTCAAATCACCGTCATATGCATTTAACTTGACGCTGAAAAATGAAATTTGTAGGCTGCCATTACGTTACTTAACCTATAGGTGGTGACAACCAGTCATCAAAAATATGCCACTGAATAATTCTTCAAAAATGAGAGATCTAGCAATGAAACATGATGTTTTATGAGTGAATAACTTAATCATTTATTGAAAATTATAGTTAAAATAAATATGGGTTGTACAAATTATAATGTTAATTTCTTCATTTAGCGTCATCAGCAACAGTAGTTGTAACAGTGAAGTTTTCACAGCACTGAATAATTTAACAATTTATTTTTAATTTAGCTGATTATTCATTTTATTTTAAATAATTTTATAGATTTTTGTAATACATGGAAAGTAAATGACATGTCTTCTCTCCTTTTTGTCTGGTCCGATCGGTGACAAAAAAAACATAATTTGATCCAAACCTTGAGATATGTGATCCGTTACACCACTAATCAAAATCTGTTGAATATTGTAACATTTGACTGTTATATATTGTATCATGCATGTATGTGTGTTATAAGGTATGTTAATAATATAAAAAACGTTTGTTTTTGTGAATTGTGGGGACATTCCCTAGGTTTTCATTGATTCTATACTGTACATACTATATTTTCTATTGCTCTACCCTATTTCAAAACTCAACTCTCACAGGGAGCTGTGTACGGTTCTTTTTTTTTTTTTTTCAGAAATACCTAATTCTATCTGATTTATTAGCCTTAAAAAATGGGGACATCAGAAATGTCTTCATAATTCACCTTCTCCTTGTAATACCTGTGTACTGTAATACCTATGTTATGATACACTTTTTCTGACACAGACTGTAATAATGACACTGCAAAAAATAATCTTATTTAGATTTTTTTATCTTGTTTTTAGTCTAAATATTTAAAGTCTTGCATCAATAAGCACTTTATAGACCAGCAAAAAATGTCTTGTTCTCAGAAATTATTCATTCATTTTCTGGTCGGCTTAGTCCCTTTATTAATCCGCTGGCCTTTATTAAAAGGGCTGGCCTTAATTAAACCGGGGTCGCCACAGCGGAATGAACCGCCAACTTATCCAGCAAGTTTTTATGCAGCAGATGCCCTTCCAGCCGCAACCCATCTCTGGGAAACATCCACACACATTCACACACACACACACACACTCATACACTACGGAGAATTTAGCCTACCCAATTTACCTGTACCGCATGTCTTTGGACTGTGGGGGAAACCGGAGCACCCGGAGGAAACCCACGCAAAGGCAGGGAGAACATTGCCAGAAATAATGTCAAAATTAAATGAGTTTTTCCTTAAAACAT